GCAACTACCGCGCCGTCTGCCAACCCTTGAGTAAGGTGGCAAGCTGCAAGTATTATAGACTGTGGATTGGAAATCATCTGCGGGTCTTGGTGAGAGACGGCGAGTTCGACAACGGCGGCACCTTTATGTTTCCTGGCAAATGGTACGTAATTCCATCTGAAAGCTAACTTGCTCAAAACTACAATATTGAGCAAGTTTGGTAGTGGCCCGTGACCAGGCTGACCAGGCGGCCCATGTGTGGCAAATCGGTACCTAGCACATACACCCTGATGTTGAAGCAGATACGGAAGGAAATGGTCCGTGACCTCCTGAAGAACTAATACATCAGCTGCAGCGCGTTCGGACAATATGGTAGATACGAGTCCCTGGTATCTGCTTGTATCGGATGGCCATTCAAATTCGGCAAGAACATTGTAAGACGCAACAACCAGTTGTCTGATCGAATCTGGTGGTGGCGTTGATGGAAGAGCAGTTTTCCAGGAGAGAGTCGACGAGTCAAACGCAAATGTCGTCTGACTTTGTGTCTCCTGGCTGCTTCCATCGAGTTGAAAGCCCAGCAGGGATGGCGATTGATGGCATTGTTGGTTTTGAATGTCTACATAGCCCCAAAGACGCATGGACCGTGATGAATCTCGCACAAGGATAGCAAGCTGTTCGATCTCCCAATTTACTGGAGTTAAGAGGCGCGCCTTATTGAGCAGGAAGTTGTGCGAGTCAGACTTGGCATCCTCAGTCTGCCCGACAGTCATGTGCGGCTGATAGCTGTCTAGAGCTAACCAGCCGATTTGTTGGCGAAGGCCATTGACCAATTCACCTGCGAAGGTTGATGGCCCATATTGCCCTGGCTTGAGTATGAGGGTGTTGTCATTTCGATGTGTAAAATAGTCTGCTTCCTGCAAACTGATCGTTTTCGGTACCAAAGCTGCCAAGTCTATCTGGCATAACATGTCGACGGCATCGGAAAGGACCTCTGGCCCGACGAACGGATAGACCAAATTGACGTGTGGCGGCCATTTTTCAAATGCTTTGTCGTAAAGTCTTCGTACTGAATTGATTGATGGCCATAAATTCTTCGGGGGGATCAAGCAGACGGCCGTATCGTGAGATGGCAAGAACTTGGCGAAGCTCCGCAACGAAGTTGTTTCTCCTGATGTCGCTTGCATGATGGAATAAAAATTAGGTTCTTTAAATTTGGATCCTGGCTACTAGATACTTCGTCAACCTCATGAGAGGCAATGCCGTGCCTGGCTAATTAGAGAAGAGTCAGCCCTAGGCGGCGGTCGTGCTGAAGAAATGGCATGTACGATTCTCTGCAGGTTATTTCCATCCTCACATTTTAATATTAGGTTAAAACCTCTGCACGATTAGGACTTCTCGCTACCGCCCACGAAAGCCGCATTGCTCGCTACATGAGTCATCTCAGTAGGCACGCTTCCATCACCGAGTTATGAATAAAATGTATGTGCTATGGTTGTTGAGTCACCGGCCACCTGGATGAGGCGAAGTTGACAATAAGACAGTGCGAATGAGCCTGGCCCCACCAGCCTTGACCTCTCTCTCCCTGTGACATAGAGTCCGGGGGGCCTGGCCAACTGAGTCAGCGGGGTCAACTTATACCGAGCAAGAGTCACGTAACCAACTTCTACACGCGCGGGTCCTGGTTCTGGTGAAAGCAGTTGAACTACTATCACAAGACAGGCCTTCAATTAGTAAAAATCCAATGAGCCGTCTTATTATGCTAATGAGCCAGGAGACTGTCACCAGAATCAGGGACCGCGCGCGTAGGACGATAACAAGATTACTCTTTATACATTACGCAAATATATGTCGCTTGCCTGCTGCTGTATCCTGCTGCATTGCGCACGGTGCACCTCATTAGAATACATACTTAAGTATGTAGCAATATGAACCATGCCATGCCATGCAAGCCTTCTAATACATACAATACAGCAGCTCTTCTTGCCTTCAACAGGCATTGCCACCTCTCTTCAAGATGCCCCGTACTGGTCAGGACCCCAATCAATAGACTCGGTCTGGTTGCCTTTGCCTTCCATGACTGCTTCTAGCTTGTCCTCAACTGTGACCCAGCCCTGCCGCTTTTGTGAGATGGCATATCGAATAGGGTCTTTCCATTCTCTCCACCACACTTCCTCGCTCTGAACGATGCATCTTCGCCCTGGTTCACCATTCTTCGTCGTCGCAAATGGCCACACTGACTTGATCACCTCATACTTATTCTTACCTGAAAACAGACTGGTGACGTTGGTGAAGAACTGATTCACCCTGTCGGGATTTTGTACCAACACGCGGCTGTGAGTGACGAGGAAAGTCACGTCAACAGCACCTCGATATTTGAGAGTTGCAATGAGGCTCCGTAGTTGACCTTCTATCCAGCCCACATCAAGATTTGCAACAACACGATCCAGAGAAAATGTTTTCACTGTAGCTGTGTCCTGAACAAATCGTCGACACCATTCTTCCAGTCCACCTTCACCAACTTCTGGGAGCACATCCGGTCGAGCTCCTCCACGATGTGCCAACTCGCCTTCCCCAACGCAGCGAATATAGTCCATGCGCAGCCTTTCGTCATCAGGCACTAACAGGGTCATAAGGTTGAGCTTGATGTCGAAATCAATCCGGCGACCACGACTGCCCCGAACATGAATCTGAGGCTTGGGGGGTACCGTCGATTGTGCACGAATCAGTGACACAAGTGCCGCAGCGTTTGAAGACAAATATTCCGCCTTTGAGGACAAGGTGATTGAGTCACTTGAAAGCTTAAATAAGGGAGGCGAATAAAGCTTATAGTCCAGTTTAGGCAGTCCTGGATATCGAAGTATACCTTTCAAAGGCTCCGTCGGAATCCCATCGTCGACTTGTCCCTCGGTTCCAGAAGACGACGGGCCTGAGTACGGAGGAGGCGTTAGTGTCTGAGAAGGAGTGTCGTGGTTTGACGCATCAAGCGATCCAACATCTGTTAGAGGAGTACGTTTCTCCATGGTCCTTGAAGCAGCTGTCGGATTTGGATTTGGATTTAGAGACGCGATCACACTCCGCAATAAAGGAAACTAGGTCCGATAGCAACGTCACGGAAGCCCTCGCGTAAGCCGGGGGCGGCGTGCGCATGTTGTTGTGTTGTTAATCCACAAAGATACGTACCGACCTCGATTTAGGTACTGTAAATAATACGGGTTTTTCTAGTCTCTTTAACCCTTGGCCTGGTACAGCCCAATAATCATATCATACAGAGCGAAACTACGGTTAATTAGAAATTAAGAGAAAGCGCGATAATTTAAAAAAAAAGTAGGTAGAGTGGGGAAAAAAAAATAATGTATCGTGATAAATAAATGACGCCCGCGATACGCGTATGTGTGCTTCTTTTTTATATTTATATTAAACCAAGAACTATTTGATTTTTAACGCCAAAAAAAATTAATAACTTTTTTCTTCCCTCCGCAATGAGGGGGAAAACTATGACACCTACTAGTGGGTTATTTTTTTCATAATAATAAAAAAAAAACTTTTTTTCTTTTTAAACCGCTGGGGGATTCTTTATATAAGCGCAATAATTTTTTAATTGGCAGTAATACCCCCTAAAAAAAACCTCAAATAAAGTAAAAAAAACACAATTAAATATTATTTACTTAGTGAATGGCTTTTTTTGACTGCGCCTATACTAAATTAAAATTAATGTATTTTACAAGAAAGCTTAGTGTAAATATTTATTTGTGTTCGTTTGCCTTTTCTTTTCTCATTTACAGGCTAAATAAGTCATGCACATCGCGATGCGTTGAACCTAAATTAATATTGTTATTAACAACTCGATAAAAAAATTATTAAAAATTGGCATGTTAATATTAATTAATATTAGAGCCGTACCAGGCCGGCTGTTCGTCGGCGGCGTATGCCCAGTCACCCCACCAAAGCTTCAAGCTCTATGACTCTCTCTCATGGTTCTTCAAATCGTCATGTCTTCGTGCACAGGCGCGGTATTATGGCAACTATGAATAGCGATGCTTCTGTACTAGTCGGGTGCCTGGTTGACAGAATTGCGTTGCGGGTAAGAAACCATAGTATCACGATGCAGCTGAGAAAAGCGCTGACCTGGTGGTGCCTGCTCCTAGTTACCACATCATACTGGCTCGACCGGCCATCCGATCTGTGAGGATGATATACTCAAGATATCGAGAGCCACGTTGGTAGATTTGAGTAGGAATGCGATCAACATTGTCATTGAATCACTCCTAAGTCTTCTCGAGCATCTAGCGCGGCCATTTGCCTCTGTGGCTGCTCACCCATCACATGTTCTACAATCAGAGCTTTACATTCTGTCACTTGCTGCTGACAGCTGTACCGCAAATTGGGATGGGAAGAACAATTCGACTGATCCGAATAATCGCCTTGGGAAGAATCTAGTTAGCCGAATATTCGATGCATTGACACAACTCTTGGAACCTATCCCGGACGATTATATATTACCTGCTCAAACACTCCTGGATCAAGTGTCGGAGCGTAACTTTTGTGTGCCTCGATCTGATGGGATAACGGCACAGAACGCCAGCAAGCAGATAATAGAGGCTGAATGTCTTGCCGAATGTCTGGTAGAATTCGATGCTCACATCAAAGTGATCGTCGAATACGTGTCGGCTTCAAGCTGGCCTGTTGCGTTCGATTATGTCAGGAATACTATATATAATATCCGAACAACAGTATTCCCCGAAGGAAGTTTAGCGAATCAGGGGCATACTCAAGATGTCGATGCTCCAGCTCTTGTGACATTGAGGCTGCTATCCTTCTTCTGGATTGACAGCGCTAAGTTGGGGCACCTCGTTCAAGAAATATGCTCCAGCTACTTACACTTTCGCAAATCCTGTCAGTGTACAATAGCTGTGATTCTTCCGCTCCTCGTCACTCGTTGGATTGATAGAAGCCCTGATGAATTCGTTCGATTACACTCACGGCAAAGGAGATTAGACGGTGGTGGCGACACTCTGTTCGACATGACACAGACAGGAATAGATCACGGTCGTCGGAGAGCAGTCTTATACCCGCTGCAGATCACCCTCCTATTGTTGCTTCCTGACGTTTTTGAGGTGGCAAGCAACTTGAGGGAAGCGAAGAGTAATAACCTGATCAAGAAGGTGTCCTTTTTGGATAGCCTCAGAAAAGGCCTTCGGAATGGGAATGAACGAGCAGCGTACTGCCTAGTAAGCCTTCTTCGAGCAGCTAGACATTTTGAGGCTGAGAGCGATTCTGCCTTGGTCAGTTATGCTATGGATGTGCAAGATGAAATCCGAGAATCCGTGTTCAGCCTTTCCCAGTCCAACATTGCAACACCACAGTTTGACCAGGATATGATCACAGGAGCTTTTGTTAGTCTCGCTCATCTTGGATTAGACGGCAGCGTTGAAACACTTACGAAAGCATGTATTTCTCCACCTGCGCCGAACTCTTTCAAGATCGCTGTCATTCAAGCATGTTCATATTTTGCGCGACTTGCGCGACGGTCCGAAACGGCCAAGTATACAGCACTACAGACAAGTGTTCTTGTTCTTATCCGATCTGAATTTGAGGTATGATAAAACCAAGTTCAATAATACAGCAATAAAAAGTACTAATAAAGAATTGCAGTCCGAATATATGAACTTCTTTAAAGCAAGACATGAGTTGTCACAAGATGGCAGCCGTAAAATTTTGGAAATTCTTCGCTATTTCTATGCCTCCCCTGGCCCTCTGCTTCGGGATTTGTCTGGTGAGACCGCAGGCATGGCATTTCTTAAGCCATTTTTATTTTGCGTCCTTTCTCGGGATCAATCCATTCGTCAGCTAGCCACAAAGGTTGCGAATAAGCTCTTCATTATGAACAAAGACTCGGTGGGCACCTCTCAACTTGAATATTGTGGCGCAACTGAAGAACTGGGACAAAACCTCTGGATTCGAAGGTGAGCAGAGCACTCCAATCGCCCACAGCCCTGGGGGTACCGTAACTATCGTTCGATGATGCTGAACAGCGACGCAGTTCGTCAATCCTTCTTGAGCTATGCGGAGAAATTGAAAAGGACATCAGCCTTTCCACCATAACGCAACTTCGGGAGTTTTTAGGCGCAAGGTCGGCGCTTCTCAAAGGCATGCCAGTTCGTCAACACACCTCCCTGCTTTCCATAACAGACTCGAGTTGACATTCCCCCTAGATTTTGTCCCATATTCCCATGGATGTGCCGGATATTCATCTGGCGGCTTCGAAACTGGAAGCAACTTTGTTGATATCTATTTGTTCTCCCAATATTGCCGTGTGTCAACTGGCTACTATCTGTATCGGCCTCTTGGTGGACGAATGTACGCATGTCGGTGAATATACTGACTCTGCAAAGCTGCTTTCTTCAACTTATCGCAACCAACTCGTTTACCAGGAACTTTCTTCGCCAGCTTTCCATTTTACCGGTCTTGTCGCCTTTCAGAAGAGAATGCGGGGATTTCTTAGACAAATTCGACTGCCAACGCAAGGCATCGTGGACGCTTGGGAAACTGCCTTCGGACAATGGATTCACCTGTCCAAGGAGGTTTCTCTGGCTACGGCAGACGGTGTAGACGATAGAATGCTATCAGAGTGGCGAAATCTATCAGGTTTTTTGGCATCATTGGGTGGCATATGCACCTATGGATACGCCACCAAATTGGATGAGGCAATTGGAGACTTGAACTGGATTGATCGGGTATCCTCCGAACATCATGAAGAGCCTCTCTTGTCAAGGTTTCTAAGACTCAGCATCCAACTTCTGGGTTGCAATAACATCAAAGTGCGTGAGGCAATGCGAGAGGTCTTATCCACCGAGGTTTCTTCGATCTTGTACGCGCCGCTTTTTAAGGCTCTGGAGTCAGAACTGGAAGTTTTGCTAGCCGGGGTTCTCGCATCCCCTGATAAAGGCCAGGAGAATGAGGTGATATTTGCCGAACAAGCTGCGTCTTTGCTCAAGATCATGGTTGAGAAGCTCGAAAGTCCATCTGACTTGGGTTCTATTTCATCAGTCCACCTCGGAGTTCTTACATTGAGTTTTGCGAAATTCTTGGATGGCGCATTGGATGGAGTGGCAACGCTACGTGTCAAAGTCAAGATTTGTCATTTGTGCGAAGCAGTCACAAAACGCAAGGAACACCTCAACTTGCGAGACGACATTCGCATTAGAAACCAGCTGCTAGAATATATATTTGGTTGGATAGCTCGGCCGCATGCTTTGAAACAAGAACAATTGGGCAATGGCCCTAGACAGGATGAATTTCGGCGTGTACAAAAGGACCTCGACAAGGCTTGCCTCAGGACACTTGGTGATCTCACATTTCGCCTCCCGCTGCAGCCAGCTGATAGCCAATCGGATGCTGGGATGAGTGAACTCAAGTCACAAATGTTTCATACATATTTCAACCGCTTCTTGTCGCTTCTCAACTACGAGACGCAGGAAATGAGCAGACAAGAACTGCCCCTGATGGGCAATCGCGAGGAAGGCCTCTCGAATGCCGATATGGTTATCACTATCCTTTCCAACTTGCTCAGTGCGAACATTGATGTTGGCTTGAAGCACTCTCTAAATATCGGCTATCATGAAAACGTTGATATACGCGCTGCATTTGTCCGTGTGCTATGTAACATTCTTACGCAAGGAACAGAATTCAGCTCGTTGACTGATGCAGCTGTCAGTGATAAATATGTTGAACTTTTAAATGTAGGTCCAACTGTCAATCATTACCCTGTCAGGCCTTGCCACAGTATGTAAGCTCACTTTTTTTAAAAAAAAGTTACTGACAACCGATCTATCGCTTTCGGTATCAATGAGTGCTATTTGCCCAGCTTCGGAAGTTGACGAGCTCACGATATGCCTCCTTACCGTCTTTGAACAACGCGGGCTCACTTTCGAATTGTTCGAGGCTCTGATTCGCCAAGAAGTAGAGCAAACAGGTTCGTTTCATCCGCAGCAAATGCGCCCAACTTCAGCTAATCCCGACTCAGAGAACGAACCCGAAATTTTGCGGAGAACTTGCGTCGCTACAAAGATGCTGTCTGTATATGCAAAATGGAAAGGAGCATCATATTTAAGGACGACGCTGCAAAAAGTTCTCGAGAGGCTCATGCTGACATCGAACGACCTAGACTTAGAACTAGACCCAGCCAGGGTGAGCACTCCCGGCGAATTGCAAAAGAATGCTGCGCAACTTCAGATCGTGGCTAAGGTGTTTATGGACGACATATGCGCTTCAACATCAAATGTTCCGAGCTCATTTCGAAGGATATGCAGCATCGTGAGTACTGACCTCTAGAAGACTGGTAACACAACAAGCCGGTGCACGATGACTTATGCCAGCTTGTAGATATCTGATGCTGTTCTTCCTCGCTTTCCCAATGCAAAGTATACTGCCGTGGGAGCTTTTGTATTCCTCCGCTTTTTCTGTCCTGCCATTGTAGCACCCGAAGCTGAAGGCCTCGTGTCAGTGGCACCGACCAAGGAAATGAGACGGGGACTGTTACTCATCGCAAAAATCATCCAAAACCTGGCCAATAACGTTCTTTTTGGAACAAAAGAGCCTTACATGTTTCCCTTGAACCCCTTCCTTGTCCAGAACATACATTTGGTCACTGGATTCCTGCGGGACATCTCCGTAAGAAAATTATTGCGTGTCTTGCGATATGTGTCAACTGTTCTAACATTTTTGTAGGTGTCCACGAGGCAGGCTGATGTCGCTCCCCCGGCGATTGACATGTTTGACTTCGGCTCATGCGTATCACTGCACCGATTTCTGTATGATCACTGGGATCATTTGCGTCAGACACTTGTTTCAAGAGAAAGGAAAGAACATCTGCGAACCCCGGTGGAGATTGCCCGGACACCACCGTCAGTCTTTGAACCACTTCGGGATCTCATCAGCAATCTCGGGCCGCCGCCCCTTGCAATCTCTTGGAATAGGCCTCAGATATCCTGCAATACGCCGCCTTTGTACTCAAGATTTCAAAACTTCATGTTACGAAATGCTTTTAGAAGTGCGGAGTCTTTTTTGACCTCTCGGGCGGTGTATGACGGCGGTGAAAGCAAGGTATTCACCGTCCTCTCCATTCCTGGAGCTTCTTCTGCTCATCAGCGGTTTAGGACGGTCTTTCTATAGTGTGCGTTATATTACGGCATATCGAAAACGAAAGCATCGATTATGATACACTTTTATATTGTTATCTAAAAGTAAGTCGCTTCCATTGCTGCATATAAGAGAAGCTCATCATGCATGTTTTGACCACGGGCGTTACTGTGCTAACATCAATCCCAGATAGCCAGCCGACTCTGGCACGAGCCATTCGGGCTGTTCATTGATGCAACGTGTTATAATGGACGAAGCGAGCCTTCCGATGAGTTTTTTTCCAAGCTAGATCTCCTAACACCTTCTGAGCTGTCTCGAAACCTTTCCCGAATATACATATACAACATGAATAGCGCTTTCAAGTAAGTATATACTGCCTTTACCAACCCACTTGACAGTCAGTTTCTAATTCTGTTTTATTGTAGGAGGTGTTTCCGGCGACTCCTTCGCAACTCTACTCGCGACGATTCGAGTGTCTTTCATCCGGATAATGTAGAATACTACTTGATCGGAAGTTTACAGGATCTGCAGGTCCATTTCCATTTGAGTCAACTCCATCTTCCCAAAGAAACTATAAGCGTGGTCACAGAAACCCGATACATGTTTCAGACCATCACAAGATTATCAAAGTCCAAAGGGAAAGTTGAGGTCGTGATCAAAGTTGGCAGCCAATTTCTTCAAATAACTACCGTTAAGAAGCAAGAAGTACTATCTGGTCTTCGCCTTAGCAGTGTCATCAATGATATTTTCCGCCTTAGTGACATAGAAGAAGCCTCAACCCCACAAGCAGAGGACGATTCTAACTTTGGACTGAGAGCTGATGGGGGTAAGATTGTCATGTTCTTTACCAGCTCCAAGAGAGCGGACATTCTTCAGACTATTCGTGGAGCCAAGACAATACACGGCAAGGACAGCAGAATGGTAAAACCCGTTGAAAGGCTCGTCCGACCACAAGATGTCCCAGGGACCATGCTCAATTTGGCACTTACCAACCTGTCAAGCCCATATCATGTCCTTCGGTTAGCCTCTTATAACCTCCTTGGGGCATTGTGCCGATCTTTCGACTTCGGTGTTTCCGGGCGACTGGTTTGCAATCGAGGTAACACGAGCTAGCCATCATTCGCTTGTCTTCCATATACATACTTACGTGCCTGATAGATTTGGCTGTTCCTCTTGAGCCGACACGATTTATCGTAGATATTAGTCGAGAATTAGCTCAAGCCGAACCCCAACTCACATCGGACTTCCTGACCGAGTTTTTTGTAAGCTGGGATAGTATTCCTGACGAACAAAAACCCCTTAGCTTGGAATATGTGGCGCCTTGGCTTCCCGGCCTTCGCACAGCAGTTCTAGTTGTTGAGGTAGACGGGGACAAAGGACGAGACAAAGTTGCATCCCTTCTACGAAAGCTGATAGACATATCTGTGTTGGACCAAAACTTGACATATTGTCTGGAAAAATACATCTGGCCATGTATTGCACAAGATGAGCTGCTCCTTGAAATTTTTACGGATGAGCTTATCAAGGCCGCGCTTAGTTACGGAAACGGGGCAGACACTTTAGAAATACTGTCTTCGGTCATGGTTGGACTTGGCACTGTTACCTTGCGGGCTAGAATCATTTCTCGCCTCCGCAAGGCTCTTAACAGGTCATCGCTACGCCCGACTCGCTTACTCCAGGACAGTTCTGTCTGGGAAGAAATCTGCATCCTGCTTCAATTTTGCTTAGGCTTGTCTTTTGACAGTCGAGTGCAATCCCAAATGTTTCTTCCAGAAATTTTCCACGTCGTCACAATGTTGGCTAACACCGGGGGAAGCGAGGTACGATTGCTTGTTTACAAATTGCTGATTAACTCAATTCATGCAATATGCGCTTCATTCAGTATAGATGACGCAAAACTGGTCCGGCTGCGATCAATTTTGGACGTCTTTGGCGACACCAGAGGAGACATTTTCACTGCTCCAACGTCGTTGGCAAGGGACGGGGCCTCAGTATCGACGTCTTTTGACTCAGGCCCAGCTCTGGCCTCAACGGAGAATCTTACGTCTGTATTGTTTGAGGTCTGCTTGATAGCCGCTCCGTCAATGGATATTGCCAACGCCTGGCGTGCTCGATGGATGAGTCTCGTGGCTAGTACAGCATTCCAAAACAACCCTGCAGTTCAGCCAAGGGCATTTGCAGTAATGGGATATCTGGCAAGGGAAGAAGTGGACGATGATCTACTATACCAAGTCCTGGTAGCCCTCCGAAATAGCGTTAGCCAGTTTGGTGAGGATGGAAATAGTGAAATGCTAGTTTCCATTATTACATCCTTGTCCAAGATGATGGCCAAATTACCATCCTCCTCGAGATATGGCCTTCAATTGTTCTGGTTGGCTATGTCACTTGTGCGTCTTGTACCAGCTGCCATTTTCAACTGCGCAGCGCAATTTCTGGGTGCCATTTTGACGAACATTGGCACAATTGGCAATGTGAGAGGAGATAGAATGGTCCCTCTCCTCCTTCAATGTCGAGGCCAGTTAGAAGATGCCGCTTTGCCATTGGATGATGCCTACGGGATTCGTTTTGAAGAAGATACCTTCCACTTTGCGGTTTGTGCCTGTCTCGTCCGAGGTCTCACAGACACAGCAACCAGACCAACCGCAATTCAGGTTCTGTCTTCATTCTTAGAGATGACATCTCGATCTGAGGATCCCGCCCCAGGCAGTCCGAATCATGCCATTCATGGGTCCCCCTACCTGGCTCTCCTGCTAGCCCGTGGCATGCAGGAAGATTTCATGGACAGCTTGTGGTGGTCCGACCTGAAGCCGGAAGCCATTTCTGATATTCTGGACAGCCGTGGCGTGCAGGGCGTCGACAACATGAAAGATAAGGACCTCCTTTTAATTTCAGCCATGGAGCTTGTCGATTTCCATTCCCTGGAGGATGCTGCACAAGCACGCAGCCTTCACTGGCTCAACTCCCTCGCCGAAGCCAGACCATTCGTCTTCACGAGCCTGTAAGCCCACCGCGGTAGACTTTGTTGTCATAATCACGCTAACATTCATGTAGATGTGGGGCCTTACCATCCGTTTTGGACGATGTGCTGCTGCACAGCCAGGAATCGGCGGCCTTAGAAGCTGCTCATGTACTACTTCGAACGCTTGCGTCCGATCAGAAATATGCCCAAGCAATGGGCTCCATGCAGTCATTAAATAGCCAGCTTACTGAAATGGGATTTGGCGGGTTGTGGAAAATACCCAAACAGAGTACGGTAGAGGACGCAAAGGGGGAATGTTTTGAGCTTACGGAAAAGCTGATCGAGGTAGGATGAAGACAGGCCGCAACCTTCTACAGCAAAGCTAACCTCATCGCAGCTCATTGTTATGTGATCGAAGTGTACATACTGTTAATCAGGCGACTGTGGAGCTTGTATCCTGGTCTTGATTTACACATGGTCCATAATGCATTACCGACCGTCATGAAATTTTTCAAAAAGAATCCAGCCACTGAAGCCGTGAACGGTCGTATGTATTTGCCCTGATCACCGACTTTCGAACCCAGATTTCTTCATTTTGCCGGGGGTTGGAGGTGAATCACGCTAGCCGACATCGGCTCCCACATACCAGCCTTAAACAACCACAATTGACAATTTAAAAATGGGGCTCCAGCCCACTGGGTAGTTGATGGGTTTGTCCGATTGAGTTCCGTCCACGCTGTCGTAAATCACCACCGAAAATACCCTCGAATCCATCATTGACTCTGTCCTACTCATCCCCAGCCCCTAACCATCGCTCTCCGACAGTTAGTACTTGGACCGGCAGCAGTTGTTCAAACAGCTGCGCTTGTCGTCGCATCAAAATGTCGACTGTCGATATGGGCTCTCCCCAAAAGATATCTATCCTCGGCCAGGATAGCATTGTCGCGGATTATGGCCTGTGGCCGGAATTCGTAGCCACTGATCTAGTCAATCACGTGCAATCGTCGACTTATGTTCTTATCACCGATACAAACCTTCACGACATATATGTGCCGCCTTTCCAAGCCTGGTTCCAATCCCTACAGCTAGCCGACAACGCCAGGTTGCTCACGTACGCCATCCCGCCCGGTGAAGCATCGAAAAGTCGAGAGACGAAAGCCGAGATCGAAGATTGGATGTTGTCCCAAAAATGTACCAGAGATACTGTCATAATTGCTCTAGGAGGCGGCGTCATAGGCGACATGATTGGCTACGTAGCTGCTACATTTATGAGAGGAGTTCGATTTGTCCAAGTCCCAACTACCCTATTGGCCATGGTAGATTCGTCAATTGGCGGCAAAACAGCAATCGATACTCCAATGGGGAAGAATCTGGTTGGTGCATTCTGGCAGCCAAAAAGAATATACATCGATCTGGCCTTTATGAAGACTCTTCCTGTTCGTGAATTCATCAATGGAATGGCTGAGGTGATCAAGACGGCAGCCATTTGGAACGAGGATGAATTCACCATATTGGAACAATCTGCTGCGGATATCCTGGCATGCGTCCGGTCCAAGGGCTTGGACCGCCTGCTCCCCATCAAAGATACTCTCACGCGTATTGTGGTTGGGTCTGCACGGGTGAAGGCAGAGGTTGTATCCGCTGACGAGCGAGAAGGAGGCCTGAGAAACCTGCTCAATTTTGGTCATTCCATTGGCCACGCAATCGAGGCTATTTTGACACCCCAGCTTCTCCACGGCGAGGCCGTTGCCATTGGCATGGTCAAAGAAGCTGAACTGGCCCGTTTTCTTGGTATCTTGCGACCCCACGCAGTGTCGAGATTATCTAAATGCATTGCTTCATATGGGCTACCTACATCGCTTAAAGACAAGAGAGTGATGAAACTTACAGCGGGGAAAGAGTGCCGCATCGATACACTTCTGGAAAAGATGTCAGTGGACAAGAAAAACGACGGTGATCGAAAGAAGATTGTCTTGCTGTCACAAATAGGGCGGACATTTGAGCCTAAAGCCAGTGTTGTGGCTGATTCAGACATCAGAACAATTCTCTCCGCTTCAATCAGCGTTACGCCTGGCATGCCTAACGGCCTGAAGGTTACCGTGACACCTCCTGGATCTAAGAGTATTTCTAACCGGGCGCTTATTCTCGCTGCTTTAGGTTCCGGTCCTTGCAAAATCAAAAATCTTCTACACTCTGATGACACCGAGTTTATGTTGTCGGCCATTAAACAACTTGGCGGGGCTTCTTATTCCTGGCATGATGCTGGAGAAATCCTCGAGGTGACAGGAAATGGCGGTAAGCTGAGTGCCAGCAGAGAGGACCTGTACATCGGCAATGCTGGCACCGCGTCCCGATTCCTTACGACTGTCCTGACATTGTGTTCTTCAACACAGGGCTCAAATTCGACTGTCTTGACAGGCAACGCCAGAATGAAGGTGCGGCCAATTGGGCCGCTGGTAGATGCCTTGCGCCAAAACGGCGCTCAGATCGAATACCTAGAGCAGGAGAAAAGCTTGCCTATTCGAGTTCATTCCACAGGAGGATTCCAAGGCGGCATGATCGAATTGGCTGCAACAGTATCCTCTCAATATGTTTCATCCATCCTTATGGCAGCTCCTTATGCCAAAAGTCCTGTTACTCTGCGCCTTGTTGGCGGAAAACCTATCTCGCAACCATACATCGATATGACCATCTCGATGATGAGCAGTTTTGGAATATCTGTTACGAAGTCTACAACAGAGATGGACACGTATCACATCCCGCTGGGTGCGTATAAAAACCCTTCGGATTATATTATCGAGAGCGACGCCAGCTCTGCCACGTACCCACTAGCTGTCGCAGCCATCACGGGGACTACTTGTACGATTCCAAACATTGGATCAGCTTCTCTCCAAGGGGATGCCAGGTTTGCGATAGATGTCCTGCGACCGATGGGCTGCTCCGTCCAACAAGACGAGCACAGTACGACGGTTACTGGCCCGATTACTGGACAGCTGAAGCCACTGCCACAGGTGGACATGGAGCCAATGACGGATGCATTCCTAACTGCCTCAGTCCTGGCTGCAGTTGCAAATGGCGAAACCCAAATCACAGGAATTGCCAACCAACGTGTTAAAGAATGCAACAGAATTGCGGCAATGAAGGAGCAACTGGCTAAATTCGGCATCACGTGCACCGAACTGGACGATGGGATTCAAATTTCGGGCAAGTCGTTATCTGATATACAGACCCCCAATGTTGGCATTCACTGCTACGACGATCATCGCGTTGCCATGAGCCTTAGTGTGCTCTCTGTCGTGGCTCCTGGGTCGACCATTATCACTGAAAGGGAATGTGTTGGCAAGACCTGGCCCGGATGGTGGGATACGCTTGCACAATCTTTTAAAGTCAAGTTAGACGGCTCCGATATTACAGATAGCAATAGCGGTGTCAAGCATGCCTCTACTCGGAGGCTTCACGCCAAGCGCTCCGTCTTTGTTATTGGTATGAGGGGTGCTGGGAAGACCACGGCCGGCCGATGGATGGCCAAATTACTTGACTGGAAGTTTATCGACCTGGATGAAGAGCTTGAACATCGCTCGGGCAAGACCATACCAGAGATTATCAACAGTCCCAAAGGGTGGGATGGCTTTCGCCAAGATGAACTAGATCTGCTACAAGACGTAGCCGAGAACATGCCCGAGTGCCATGTTTTGTCCTGTGGAGGCGGAATTGTGGAGATACCCAAGGCAAGAGAGTTGCTACAGAACTATTGTAACAGTGGCGGCATGGTAGTTCTCGTTCATCGAAATATAGATCAGGTCATCGAATATCTGATGAGAGACACCACTCGGCCAGCATACACAACAGAAATACGTCAGGTTTATGAGCGCCGCAAAGCCTGGTACGAGGTGTGCTGCAACCATATCTATTACAGTCCTCATTCGGCGCCCAACACTGGGTCTAACAGCATACCGGATGACTTCAAGAGATTCGTAACATCTATTACTGTTGGGAATAGTTGTGTGAAAAATATTGCCAAGAAGGATGAAAGCTTTTTTGTGTCCTTAACTGTTCCCAAACTGAACGAAAACTTGCACGCGATCAGCAGTGCTAGTGTCGGGTCAGATGCGATTGAGATTCGAGTCGATCTCCTAGATGACTGGTCTCTTGAAGCGGTGACAGAGCAGCTTTCATTGCTACGATTTGTTTCAAAACTACCCATCATATTTACTGTCAGAACAGTTTCACAAGGTGGACGATTTCCAGATGCGGCCAATGATCACCGACATGACCTGTATCGGCTGGCGTTGAGACTTGGCGTGGAATATCTTGATGCCGAAGTCACATCCAGTGATGAAATCCTTCAGGAATTGACAGAGACCCGAAGAAACACTCTCATTGTCAGTTCTCACCATGACCCTGCTGGATCTTTGTCCTGGAAAAATGCGTCGTGGATTCCGTTTTACAATCGAGCCCTGCAATACGGGAATGTGATAAAGCTAGTTGGCAATGCCAAGAGTATCGAAGACAATTTCGATTTAGCGAATTTTAAGTCAAGGATGATGGCTGATCACAAAACACCAATTATCGCCATCAACATGGGCGCTGCGGGTCAATTAAGTCGAATTCTGAACGGATTCTTGACACCGGTATCGCACCCGGATTTGCCCTTCAAGGCAGCGCCAGGTCAACTGTCGGCCGCTGAGATCCGTCAAGGTCGTGCACTCCTTGGTCAGATCAAAAAGCGAGAATTCTATCTCTTTGGGAGTCCCATTTCTCAATCTAGGTCACCAGCCCTCCACAACACTCTCTTCGGCATCACCGGACTACCACACGAATATCATCTCCATGAAACCAGTTCGGCTGAGAACCTTGATGAAGTCCTTCATAGCGAAAGTTTTGGGGGCGCTTCTGTTACTATCCCCCTGAAGAGAGACGTAATAGCGTTGGTTGATGAGCTAACACCAGCAGCGCAGGCGATTGGGGCCGTTAATACTATCATTCCTCTCAATGACGACATCCCATCAAACAAACGTCGTCTTTTGGGCGACAACACCGACTGGAAGGGCATGGTTTATACGTTATCGGAGGCAGGTGTTATCAACCCTATAAAGAATGAGTCAGCAGCTGTCATAGGGTCCGGAGGCACAACACGTGCAGCAATCTATGCTTTGCATTTTATGGGATTTGAAACCATTTATGTCGTCGGACGTGATGCACATAAAGTCAACACACTGGCGTCGGAATTTCCTAGGGACTATAACGTCAATGCAATCACAGAACCGGCTCAGGCGGCTGATTTCACTCATTCTCCTTCGGTCATTATCAGCACCATTCCTGCTGATCAACCAATTGACAATGGAGTTGAAGACGTTGTGTTCACCCTCCTGTCACTGTCCGCCGTATCCAGAGTGAAACGTGTCCTTTTGG